CGATACTTCGTCTTATTTTTGCAGATTTCACTTCGTCAGAGCGACTTTCGGTCCGCATAAACTTATTAGGAATTTAAAACATTTGTCTTATAGTACTTCTGTACTTTTAATACCCCGAAAAATCTTCACTTTCCCTGCGGGCAAGTTAAGCACAGAATTCACCAGCCCGATCGCATAATCCACTAACCCCAGGGCTATCGGACACGACTTTCTTTGAACGCTGCAGACTCCTATTTACATCGTAATTAATTTTCGACTCTGCGAGGGCAATTATAGCTTGTCAGTGTTCAATTATTCCCCAGTCTGCTATGATATTGAATTGTAGAAGATAGTAGTATTTGAAGCCTGTTATTAAAGTGAGAGATGATGTTATTCAGTAACCGACACAGGCATACTCGGAGGAAAAAACTATTAGTGTTCAATGAGCAGGTGTCATGTTGATTTAATATGATTTATTATGCAGATTTTCTTAATTATTTTTTACCTGTGTTTTGAAGGGCTTCGTCAACGGTTTTGTATTTCTGATAAAAAGCGGGAGAGTTGAGAACAGGCCTGAAAATCTGCATAACAAATCATATTAAATCAATATGACACCTGCTCATTGAACATTAATAAAACGCCAAGAACACAGTTAAAAAGCGGAAGAGTTGAAAACAGGTCTGATTGACGCTGTAACAGTTGTAAACTGAAACATCAGTCGATGGCAACACTGCAACAGGACGCTGAAACCGAAAAGTTATCGTCCGTGAAAGGTTCATTTGCTGAAAAAAGTCGGAAAGATAGAGCCAGACGTCTGAACGTAAACACCAATGGCCAACATTACAGGCACGTCATCACAATTACCAATTGGCGTCCTGACATCTCTCCTAGCCTTCAACATTATCCTCTCCTTCACTGCATCTCTGGGTAATGTTCTGATCCTGTTGACAATTTATAAAGTTTCCTCTCTGCATCCTGTGACGAAGCTCCTGTTTGCATCCTTGGCCACAACCGACCTTTGCGTGGGTCTCTTTTCGCAGCCTTTGTTCGTAGCAAGCATAATACTTAAGATTGATCTTGCCAACACCGACCTGGATATTTTGTACCACTTGAGCGAGGTTATTTACATCTCCAGTTATGTGTTATGCGGAGTGTCCCTGTTGATATCGGCAGCCATCAGTGTTGACAGACTTCTTGTTTTGTTGTTGAGGCTGAGATACAGAGAGGTTGTGACACAGAAGCGAGCTCAAGTTGTTATACTTTTGTGCTGGGTAATTGCTATTTCATGCGGATTGGTTCGTGTGTGGAGTCCAACGGTTTCAGAGATTGTTGTTTTTGTGGCTGGTTTTGTATCTTTAGTTACTTCCGTGATTTGCTACGCAAAGATCCACCAGAGACTACAGAGGAATCAGGCTACAAGAGAGGACAACTATGGGTGTGAACAGTCAAACGAAGGAGAAGAAGTGGGTGGAGGAGAGGAAGGGACAGGATTAACAACGGGGGAAGGAAGAGCCGCAGGAGAAGAAGCAGAAGCAACGACGGGGGCAGGTAGAGACACAGAAGAAGAAGAAGAAGAAGAAGAAGAAGAAGAAGAAGAAGAA